AATATGTGAACTTTGATGTAACTCTTCCACTTAGCTTGTGTGTGTGTGTGTGTGTGTGTGTGTGTGTGTGTATGTGTTAATAATGGTAATGTAATCTATATATTGCAATAGCAGGAGTTTAAGTGCTAGAATTTTATCTGAAGAATTTTTTTTTTTTTTTTTTGAGACAGAGTCTTGCTCTGTTGCCCGGGCTAGAGTGCCACAGAGTAAGCCTAGCTTACAGCAACCTCAAACTCCTGGGCTCAAGCTATTCTCTTGCCTTAGCCTCCCTAGTAGCTGGGACTACGGGTGCTCACCACCACACCCGGCTAAGTTTTTCTGCTTTCAGTATAGGATCTCGCTCTTGCTCAGGCTGGTCTCCAGCTCCTGAAAGCGATCCTCCTGCTTCGGCCTTCCAGAGTGCTAGGATTACAGGCATGAGCCACCCCACGCCTAGCCTGAAGATAGGAATTTTATCCAAAGTACTAGAACTTATCTGTTGATGCCTTTTATATAATATAATCCTTTTACTTGATAGTTGCAGAAGTATGACGAGAAAGATAAGCATATTTGTTTTATTTTCTGAATGAAGGTGGAATTCTGCTAGAAAATGAATGATTTTCCCTAAATAGTAGCTGGCACATAGAAGGTATTCAATAATTGTTTGCTGAATTGAACTAGATTATTTCTAAAGTTACAGGATTCCTGGGAAAGATCAACAAACGCTCTTTGTCTATTTCTTGGGAAAGGGTAGACTAGAAAATCAGGAAATCCTTTTGATACAAAACATCAGTAAATGATAAAACAAATATTTTTTAAAAAACATTTCAGTTTTTAAGAAAGTAGAAGAAATCTCCAGGGCCTCAGTCCTTGTAAACCCAAACTGGTAATAAGGTGCTCATGCTATAGTTGCTTGGGAGAGAGGTACAGTAGAGATGGTTGCTGTTTTTCCAAATCAGAATAAATGGGCTATGAAGAGACAGAAGAAAGTCACTAGGCTTCTACAAAGCTGGTACAGTCAGGCTCCATATAACAATGTTTCGGTCAATGGCAAACTGCATACATGATGGTGTTCCCATATAATGGAGCTGAAAAATTCCTGTTGTCTAGTGATGTCATAGCCATTGTAAGGTTGTAGTGTATTACTTAATTTTTTAATAAATTTAGTGTACAGTGTTCATAAAATCTACAGTTGTGTACAGAAATGTCCTATGCCTTCACATCCACTCACCACTTACTCACTGACTCACCCAGAGAAACTTCAAATTCTACAAGCTCCATTCATGGTAAGTGCCCTACATAGGTGTATCACTTGCTTATCTTTTAGACCATACTTTTCCTGTACCTTTTCTATGTTTAGATATATAGATATTTATCATTGTTTTATAATTACCTACAGTATTCTGTACAGTAACATGCTGTATAGCTTTGTAGCCTACGAACAATAGGCTATACCATATAGCCTACATGTGTAGTAGGCTGTACCACCTAAGTTTGTGTTAAGCACACTCTATGATGTTCTCATGATGACAAAATCACCTAACAACACATTTCTCAGAACATATTCCCATTGTTAAGCAATGCACAAATGTAATTGTAACAGAGAGGAAGGGAGAAATCCAGAATTATGAAAGAGTTAGAAAAAATATCTACCATTGGCAAAAGAAAAACTAGGATACCCAGCTTGAGAGAAGTGAAGTATCTCAGGAATGGAAAAACAAATACTCTATGTTCTCACTTATAAGTGGGAGCTAAGTGATGAGTATGCATGGTCATACAGAGTGGCATAATGGACACTGGAGACTCAGAAGGGGGTAGGGTCGGAGGGAGAAGGAGAAATTACCTACTGGGTACAATGTATACTATTTAAGTGACATGTACACTGAAAGCCATGACTTCACCACTATACAATTCATCCATGCAACAAAAAACCATTTGTACACTCTAAATCTATTGAAGTAAATTTGTAAAAAAAAGGAAATAAAAAAAATCCTCCAAAGAATTTGTAACCAAAGACCAGCTATCATGTGTGTTGGGATTCGAATTTTAATTATTTGTGGGATCTAATTTGAATCGAATTTTAATTATTTGTGGGATCTAATTTGAATTTATTACCTTTATAACAGATTTGATGTATTAACATACAAAGAAGTTCCAAGTTGATAAAAACTCTGGGACAGTGGCATAAGTAAATATCATTTTCTCCAAAGAGACACTTACTCAAGTTAGGCTTTATAGGATTCCCACAGATTAAGCCCCCCAAAGCTTAGATCCCAATCAAAAATTGCAAAATACATGAGGAAAAGAAACCCCCTCAAGAGTCAACAGAAATAAAAACAGTAACTTCATAAATAAAATTGTCAAATAGTGATTATAAAACCTTTAAAGTCATAAAAACATAGAAAGAAAAATAAAACTTAAGGATGTTGTCAAAAAAGGATTGGGCATATATGTATAATAAAATAACCAAATAAAATTCATGAGAATTAAAAAATATAATTATTAAAATTGAAAACTCAGTGGATGAGTTAGATAGCAGATGCAACTCAGCTAAAAAGGGAGTGAACAAATTGGAATCTATATCTGAACAAATGACAGAGGATAAGGTATAGAAAGATAAAGAGATGGAAAAATACAAAGGATGTTGAGAGACACATTACATAACATGAAAAGGTCCAACATACATCTTTATAGAATTTCCAGGAAGGAATAAGACAATGTAATCAAAGCAAAATTTTAAAATACCACAGATTAAAATGTTCTAGAACTGATGAAAGGCAAAAACTCTCAGATTCAAGAAGCACAAGAAGTTCCAAGCAGGAAAATGAAAAGATATTCATGACATTGCAGTGAAATTGCAAAAGGCCAAAAACAAAACAAAACAAAAAAATCTTAAAGGCAACTGGAGACAGATTACCTCCAAAAGAATGTCACTTTGACATCAACAACATAAGGCAGAAGTCAGCAGAAAATAATTATCAATCTCAGATACCATATGCAAGTAAATTACAGTCCAAGAATGAGCCATAAGAAAAGATACTTTTGCCAGGCATGGTGACACATGCCTATAGTCCCATGGAGTCTGAGGTGGAAGGATTGCTTGAGCACAGGAGTTTGAGGCCAGACTGGGTAACACAAGGAAAACCTCTCTTGCTACCAAGAAAAAAAATTATTTAAAAAAGACACTTTAAGACAAAGACTAAGGGAGTTTTCCTCCAACAGACCCTTTACAAAGAAACTTCTAAAAAACACTGAAAGCAGAAGAAAGATGTGAGATGCGAATAGCAGTAATAGGCAAAGAATCTAGTAAGAATGTAGGTAGAACCACTAATGTTATAAAACAGTATAATGATGACTGATAAGGGAGTATAGAAAGAAGGTGGAACAAAAACATTAGATAATAATAAGATTCTAACAATGGAGAGAGTAATCAGAGTTAAAGTGCTCTAAATTTAGGTTATTGCTCAGGAAGAAAGTATAAATGTTAATTTACTTTCAGCCTTGTTAGTAAGTGTACATGTTAAAAATATTTAAGAGTAACCTGTAAAATAGTAGAAATAGAATGT